GGCATTGTGGCACAGGGGCTGCCCTCCTGCCCAGAGATCTGCCTTGGCAAGGTGAACCAGGATAAGGGAAACCTGCCCCAGGAGAAGATCCCAAAAGGCCAGCAGTGGCAGCCAGGGAGGTGGCAGTGACATGGTCCAGGTGTGATAGAGCAAGCCCAGCCCCAGGGACGGCTAGGAGCTGGGGGGGCTCTGGCTCTGGGGAGCCCCTACCCTGCCCGTGCATGGCCGATGGCAAGCAGCACCTTGTTTGCATCTCGACAGGCCCGCTCGGTTCCCAGCTGGAGCCGTTACCCTTGGGTTTGGTAGCTGCCGAGACCCTCCCCGAGCTCAGCCTGCAGCTGGGGACCAGCACCAGGCACCCTATTAATAATCCCTGGGGCATGTGTGGGGACAGGGCTGTCACTGGGTTGGAGCAGGGAGGCATCTGGCTCCCATGTCATGCTTTCTTCCATCCTGTAACCCTGCAGGAATACCTGGATGTGCTGGGAAGACCCATGGTCCTGGCCGGGAACCGAGCCAAGCAGGTTCAGTGGACCAACGTCTACCAGGATGCCCTGGTAAGGACCCCCAGCCCTGGGGTGCAGGTGGGGACACTGGCCCTGGGGTCCCGCACAGCCCCGTGGTGCGGGTGGGGACACAAGCCCCAGGGTCCTGCACAGCGCATGCCTCCATCTCCCTTGCCAGGGGGGTAACCCCCCTCTGCTGCCCACCCCCAGCTCTGGGTCCTGGGACCGACAAGGGGCCGTGGGCCACCCTTCTGTGTTTGTACAGGGGCTGGGCCTGGTGGTGACGGGCACGCTGCCAGTATTCAACCTGACGGAGGACAGCAGTGACAGGAAGGTAAGAGTCTGTGGCTGTCAGGACCCCCGGTGTGGGGCCGTGGCAGGGTGGGGAGGGTGCCCTGACACTGGGTCCGTGGTTGCAGGCGGGGGGCACTGGCACCCCTGGGGTACTGCCTGCTCTGCACCCCCTCCCTGGGGTGAGACCAGGGGTGACTGCCATTCCTGGGACCTGAAATGGCCTTGGGTAGCTCTCCCAGTTCAATAGGGACAGCTGGCAGCTGCAAGTCCCTGGGGGGTGCAGTGTCCCATGGACGGCTGCTGGGGGGCTGGCATGTCCCACTCGGTGCCCCTGCGGTGTCCGGATCTGACCCACATGTCCCCAGAGGGAGAAGAGGTCCATCCCCCTGTTTCCCTGTCCCCGTACTGGTGGTGGCAGGTGACAGCCCTGCTCCCACCCACCTCCCTCCCTGCGCTTCCTTCCAGAACCAGCTCATTCTGGGCGTGATGGGGATCGACGTGGCTCTCAACGACATCAAGAGGCTGACGCCGCGATACAACGTGCGTGGGGGCCCCTTTCCCTCTGTCCCTGCCCTGTGCTGCCTGAGCCCGGTGTGGGACTCCATGGGGAGCCCTGGGCTGCGCCCCCCAGCACCCCATAGCACCTCTGGCAGCGCTGGCAGTAGCGGGGTGCAGAAGCCTTGATTGCAGGCAGACGGGCAGGGATCATAGCTGGGTGATGCTCTGGGACCCAGAGAAGAGCAAAACCCTTGCAGGATCAGCAGGGAATAAACCTTACTAGCCTGGGGAAAGGAGCAACGGGCATAATCCAGAGCCGGGGTGAGAGATGCTGTTGGCCTGGGAATAGAAATAGTTGGATAGAAAAAGGCTGAGCCCCAGGGGTGGTGCTGGGCGAGCTCTGCCTGCAGAGGTGAGGGTGATCACACCGGCACGGCACAGCATGGCATGCCACAGAGCTGCCTGGCTGGCCTCATCCCTCCTCCTGTCCTCCTGCAGCTCGGAGCAAATGGTTATGTCTTCGCCATCGACCTGAACGGCTACGTCCTGCTACACCCCAACCTGCAGCCCCAGGTGAGGAGGGGCCCGTCGGTGTGAGGGCAGCCGGGGTTAGCCAGGGCCCTGTGGGACATACGGCTTCCTGGGGTCATTAGGAGCTAATTGGAGGGATTGTGATGAGTTTGTCTGGACTCAGCAGCAGCTGCGGGAGCCTTGAGCCCTTCCCTGCCTCTCCCTTTCTGCCTGCAGATCATCAATTTCCGTGAGCCGGTAACACTGGACTTCCTGGACGCTGAGCTAGAGGATGACAACAAGGAGGAGGTGGGCAGATCCAGGGGCAGATTTTGGGGTACAGGCTGGCTCCCCCTGATCTGCAGTTGCAAAGGGCACTCAGCCCCTCCAGCCTGCCCTGGGGAGCACCTCATTCTAAGGGGCCCAGCACAGCTCCTGTGGGGCCACGGTGGGGACGGGAACATGGTCACTGTCCCCTGAGTGCTAGCACGATGAGCCCCCCCCGGGCTGCTCACCCCTTGCCCCTGCACCTCGCGGGTCCCCAGTGCCACCCCACTGGGGTGGGTGCCCGCGAGCGCATGGCTGGGCTCTGTGGCCTTCAGTCGCCTCCTCCATGTCCCCCAGATCCGGAGAAGCATGATTGATGGGAACGACGGGCAGAGGTTCATCAAGACCCTCATCAAGTCCCTGGACGAGGTAACACTGTAGGGAAAAAAAAGCGCCACACTGAATGCCCAGCCCTGGTGGTGGGGAGTGAGGGGTTGTGTCCGGCACTGGGTTTGGAGCCATAGTCCCATGTCGCGGCGCCGGCAGGGTCCTGGCACCGTGGAGACCTGACTGGCTCCCTCTGACCCACAGCAATACATCGACGAGGTGTTCAGGACCTATACGTGGGCCCCCATCAAAAGCACCAACTACAGGTGAGCAACACTGCCGGCACACCCGCACTCACCCGGCATCAGCCGGACCCACACCAGCACAGGGCTGCAGTCTTGTGCCCGCAGCTCAGGAGGTCCCTGAGGCCACCAGGAACGTGTCCCTTGGGCTGTGGGACTGCAAACCTGTCGTCACATCATTGCACGCAGCCAGTGATGCTCTAGAGGGCACTCCCAAAAGTGCTGCCCGCTGGTATTTGACACTGCTGAGCAGGGTCACGGTCCCCAGGGCTCGGGACAGGCTGCCGGGCTGGCGTGTGAGGTGCTGGGCAAGGGACACCCCTGCCACTGCCTGCCTGCACAGCCAGGGCCTCACACAGGTCTCTGCCTGCTCCGGGGTGGGTGACAGTGACGTGCAGCACAGGCGGTGGCTTTAGAAGCGGAGGAGAGCAAAGCGCCCATCTGCATTTGTTGCCCAGTTTGAACCAGCAGATGTGTAAAAAAAGACCCCGACATCGTCGTGTCTGTGCTGTCCAACTCGTACTGCCTTCATCCTGTGAGGAGCCATGTGGTCCCCCTGCCACCCACTGTACCCTCCTCCTCCTCGCCACCCAACTCGGGAAGGGCTGGCAAGGCTCACAGTCGCCTCCCAGCACTGCCAGGTGTCCCCCACGCAGCCTCGGTCCTGTCCCCCACGGGGGTACCCCTCTGGAGCCAAGGAGCACCGGCAAGGGGGGACACAATGACATGGAGTGACAGAGCTGGGGCTGGGGCTGTGGGTTGATCTGTAGGGCGAAAGGTGCTGCCAGGAGTCCTGTGCTCCCGTGGCTCCGCACTGCAGCAGGGATGTTCCCTAGGACACCATCAGCACAGGGTGCCACCAGCACTGAACAGAAAAAAGTCACCACCCTCTGCTTGCCACCTGTGGTTTGGGGTGCCACCACCTCCACCCTCTATGCAGGGTTGCCACCACCTCTGCCACGCTTGCTGGGGTGCTCAGTCCGTGCTGCCAGGCGCAGACAGGACTAACTGGAGGGGTGACCTGGGGGACAACTCCAGGTACCGATGGCTCAGGTGCAGGTGTGACATCCAGTGAGTCGGGAATGTGGCCCTCATCCACTGGTGCTCGGTTATCCTGGGCACCACCAGGCACAAACACCATCACGGAAGGCCACTGCCTGCTGCAGCCAGCACCCAGGAGCCCAACTCCCTCCGGCAGTGTGTCCCATGGGATCAGCAGCCCCAGCACCACCTCCTGCTACCTCCTTTCCCACCCCCACCCTGCCCGCCAGGCTCCTGGCTGGTGGATCCCTCTCCTTCCTGGCTTGCCAGTAGCCGGTGGCTGTGTAATGGTTGTCTTCAGTCTCTCCTCACTGGGAAGGTTTTGTCCCTTCTTTCAAGGGCTGTCTCTTCCCACCTTCCTCCCTTATGGGGATTTTGTGTCCCTCTTCCACGTGCATCTCTCTTGGTTCCTGGGTGGGCATGTCCTGCCCATCACAGCCTGACTGGACAGGGTTGCCACCTCCTGTGCTCAGGGATGCCCCCAGGATGGCCCTAGGTGCTCTGGGGATGGCCCTGGGGACAACCCTGAGTGCCACCAGGATGGCCATGTGCAACCCAGGATGACCCTGGGGATGAACCTGGCAGTAGGCAGTAGGTGTGCTGGGAATGACCCTGGGTGCCACTAGAATGGCCCTGTGTGCTCCAAGGGTGGCCCTGGGTGCCCTAGAATGACCCTGGGTGCCTTGGGGACAACCCTGGGTGCCCCCAGGATGATCCTGGGTGCTGTAGGGATGACCCTGGGTGCCCCCCCAGACAGGGCTGGGTGCAGTCCCTGGAGAGAAGGAGGCAAAGGGCTG